CTGAGGATGCTGCGGTGCATATTTCCTTGTGGCCGTGGCTGCTCCTTCGGCATCCTGGCAATATACATTCCCCACAGCGTTATGCAAAGGAATTCGTAATGTGGCAATGGGTTTTTGCTACTGTGTGTGTGTGCGAGTCCTCGCCACCTTATGTGCAATAAATTGCAGCGAAAAATGTTGCATACTTTCAGGCCATGTCGACAGGAATTTCAACTCGACTTTAACTCGGTTTCTTTTTTTGGCTGGCCGATGTCAGGCAATTAATGAAATTTTTCCTCCATCACATAAAAAAGAAAAAGTGAAAAATATTACAAATCCATTAAAAAAGTATACCACAATGAATATTAATCTATGTTTCAAAATTGTATTAAGAAAGTGGTCTAAAGGATTCACAGCATGACAACATATTTTTTAGAAAATGTTTGTTCTTTGTATACATTTTTTTTTGTCAGTCGTTTATATTCTTTTGAGTGATTTACGGATTTGCATACTAAACCCAGATGAAAAATTGCCATTAATTAGCCTGTTTCAAATCAACCAACACATTGGACTTACTTCTGTGTACGTCTGCCATTTCTATATACTTATATATTCGAAATAAATTATTCTGCTCACTCATCAGCATTTTGCGCTGTTATAAACACGTTTTTAATTAAAATTGCAAAAACAGGCAAAACATAGATGCGGCAATAAAGGCAAACGGCAAACATGTGTGTGAGTTTGAGTGGGAGCTGTGCTGGGGGACAAAATATGATGGCAGCAACTTCAATTAGCACAAAATAAAAGGCAATTCCAAGTAGAACAAAGCCAGCAGCGGCAACAAAGTCACAAACAGACAGAGGCCCACTTTTCCCTGGCGAAAAAGAGATGGGGCGAACTGGAGCGAAAGGGAGAGCGCTACTAGAGCACACAAAGAGGCGCAACAGTTTTAGCAATAAAATGGCAAACACGTAATCATCGCCGTCTGATAAATGTGCGTGCAACAACAGCCATGACTACTCCTGTACAGTGAGAGAAACCGGCGGTGATTTATGTTTTGAATTCAAAATAAAAAGCTTTATCCTAAAAATCAAGGCACAAAATTTATTAAGACTCTTTGAAAGCTTCTTGGTATTTTATATTTTAACTTTAATTACTGGCAATCCTATAATCAATCTAATCAATCTGGAAATAAGGTGTATAATATAATTTCTATATATTCTGATAATTTTAGTATTTCAATAAAAAACCAATAAATAATGTAGTCAATTTCTCCTTGTGTTCTTGAACGAGCCATACATAGCTCACATCATCGACCTTCAGCATTTGCACCATATTAATGAACTGGCAAGCCCGCATCGCGTATCCGCCCCGTTCCCGCTTTCATTACGATTCATTCGCAATTTCGCTATTGCTATTCAGGCACCGTTCGTCCTTTCGAATGCTAAATAAAATGCGAAATAAATACATATGCTTGTGCGGGGGCTTTGTATGAAAGCATTGCCACTTAGCGGCAGCAGGTTATACAAATTGAATCAAAAAGAAATTGTTTACAATTTATGCCTGCTTTTCAAATCACGGGAGCGGTGAGAATAAAATGCGAATCCTATTCAAATGGATGTCGCACAGCAGCATATGTGATTGTGTGGAAATTCGCAACATTTTAACCCCTCACGTGCCAGGAATGAATTTGCCGAGCTGTGCTGTGTGTGTGTTTGAGTTTCAGCCAAGGCATCGGAATTGTCCTCACGTCTAGACATAATTTCTTCAATCATTTATTACCTAATTAAGTGGAAGTATAAATGCCAAACTCAGCATGCCAATGGGCGTGGCGGGTCAAAGGGGGCAGAAAGGCCAGGAAGGCGGAAAGGAGGTCGTGTTATTTTCGTTCTCTTCTGGGCCACCGCCTTTTGTATGCGAATTAACTGGCAAAATTCCAATGATTGACCTTACTCTTTGTTGTTCGAGTATGGGGTGTATTGGCATGGGTATGGGCGTGTTTTCGTGGATGTGCTGGTCCTTGGTATGGGGCTTGTGATTGTGATTGTGGGTGTGTGGAGTGCAGTCGAGTGGTTCCCAGGAAACTTGAGTTTAAGCCATGAAACGGCGTTGCCTTGAGCAAGTGTCTTTGTCTTCGGCTCATCTTTTGTTCCATCGTCCCCACATACAAAAGCATTGTGTGTGGTTGGCTTTTCTTTTCCTTTATTTTTTATTCTGTTCAGCCAGCTCACTTTGCTTTTCTGCTGCCGCCTTTTTGCCCTTGCTTACCCTGGTTTGTTAGTGAGTGTTCAGGTCTTCTTCATATTGCGCTGTCTTTGTTGTTTGCCGCCCCTGTTTCCCATTCAATTCCAGCACTCCCTGGCAGGGTATTGTATGCCCCTCTTTGTTCGCCTCGATAGTGTCACATACTTAGTTGCCGATCGCTGGGAGGCTTTTTGGGGGTCAATAATGAAGTGCACATCGAGAGTCATGTGGCCCAGAAAGAAAGGAAGAGAAAGGGAGAGGGGTAACTGAAACCAAAGCCTTTAACATTTATAAACCGATTTAGTTCGACTGCCTTTTATTATTTTCAAAAACACAATTTTTTATTACAAAATCCTTTACAAATCCTTTTATATGAAAAGCGGAATTTCATTTATAATTTTATCTGTTTGTTTGAATCATTTTGCACAACTTAAGTAGGAAAACCGAAGCTTAGATTTTTTTTTAATACCGAAAAATATAAAATTATTGACTACTTACCCGAAAAATAAATTCCAGCCCACCAAATGTAAGAAATAGCCATTCATTAATTTCTATATTTTGTGGTTTTCTTTATTTTTTTTGCATTTGTTCTTGTTGTTGTTTCACTTACATTGGTTTTATTACAAATATGCCACGACGTATCGCTTGTTTTTCATTCGCTTTGCATTATTTTATAATTTATATTTAGATTTATCTTTATCCATGTACCTCAATTCGGTTGTATACGCTAACATAAAGCCCACTTACTTACAAACACACACTCGTATGCATTCCTAACATATCGTATATATATATATCATTTACTTTTTAGGTTTCAACTTACAGCTTTAAACTTGAAGTGTGGCTCTCGTATTCCTCATGCATAATTTTCAAAGTATTTCCTCTGTTTTACGTTTATTACGCTGCCTTTCTGATTTGCTATCCTCCAGTTTATACGTATCCATGCTACAGATTGCTATTTGAGTGCTAGTTTTCCTTTTGCATTTTGCTTGCTTTTTACATTAATGCGACTATTTTGTAATTTTCTTCATTTCCATTTTGTTTTTCATTTTTTATTTTTCTGTTTCTTTCTTTTCATTTATCATTTTACTTTAACGGTACTTTACATTGTAGCTACGCTTTGTCCGCACCCTGTAAGTGAGGGGATGAGATGAAACAATACACTCGACCTGCCACTGATACACTGATATGCTCCGAAACTATAACGACTCAGTAGCTGTTTTCGTTGGCCATTAAACGATATGGATAGGATAGCAGGTGAACTGAAATCCAATGCCCCAACAATTCTACTAATTTGCCCTATTCCTGGCGACCTACGAGCTCATCCTTCGATTCGATAAGTTAATGCCTTAATTTCGTCTAATATTTAGCTAGAAGATTCCGCAAGCAGGCTTCCAATAAACTTTACACTCATCTGCTGTTGCTGCCTATATATAGTTGTAGGTTAAAGCGTTGCCTTTTCTCTAGAGACTATTAAAGTAGTTTTCAATGCTCTCTAACGATTATAACTTTACGCATATATTAATATATTTATTTATAAATATTTCTTTAGGGGTATATTTGACTTAGATATGCTGCGGTTAGTTTTATTTTGTGTCAACAGTGCTATAATTTGCAGGGATATTCGATAGTGATATGGTTTTAGCCCTTGGTGTCTATATTACAATATCTTTCGTCTAACTGAAGCGCAGGCTGGGGTCTTGCCAAATATCGTATAGGTATAGGTATTTAGTATATATAATTATGTGTATAAACACAATACATATCGCCGAGTATATGCATTAAGGAAGACATTTTTTCATGATTGTGACCATTTTCAATATGCGCACGTTTCACACTGCTACAAGTTTCCGTTCAAATGGTCAAGCTTAGACTTAAAGTGAGTAGTGCGTGAGTAGTGTTAGTTCCATAGGGGTCAAACACTCAATTATTTATTATAGAGATACCATTCACTCGGGTGTTGTTACTCTTCTATTTACAATAGCCAATTTCCTCGCTGTCACACACTTTATTTAAGGCTCAACTCAAGTTTCGTTCAATATACACAGTTTATCCTAGCTGTTTAACGTGAATCAAGTTCTCATACCATATTCCATAAGGTTGACTTAGGCATGTTGTATATCGTTGTAAATATTATGTATAGTTTTCGGTATAAAGAACTATGTACAAAAGATTCGAGCAATCGAGGGACACTGTAAGAATTTTGTTTCTGTGTAAAACTCGTTTAGGTGTTCATATTGATATGTACTGTTAGTATTTAATTACGTAAATTGAGTTCAAAGTGGTTAGAGTATGTACAGCGAACTGAAAAGGTAATTGGGATTCTGGGGTAAGCAATGAAACCTGTTGAAACGAGGCTTTCACCCGGTGAAATTGTGGCAACAATCGAAATGCAGAACGCATAATTGATAATGAAACCGTAATTGTTTTCGCGCCTCCAAACGAAACGTAAAACTATGAAATAAATTAACAATGAAGTTTTGCACGCTCATCCGCGAATTCGAATGCGAATGCAAGTGTTAAATGAGTTCATTCGCACGCCTGACTATTATTTGTTTGCCCGGCAGAAGGAGAAAAGTGCGGAGGCCAGGAGGCCACATTAAAATGTAATTAAAAATCAAAAGGGAACTGGCATATCCAGAAGAGGCACTCGCGTCCTTTAACAAAGTAAACACTGTTAAGGCGGTTAATAATTATTTTTAATTGAGGCGGCCAAGAACTTTAAAGGGCTCAAAGAGCAAACAATAAGAGCTACGCAATTGTTGTGTGTTAATTGTTGTGTGTGTGTGTTTGGGGCGATAATGATGAACGGACGGACAGACGGACAGGAGTTGTGTGTATTGTTTACCGTATAAAACACTAGCTACGGATAGTACTTAATGCATATGCCTTCTATGTACACGCCACATTCAATCCAACTATCGAGTTTGCCTCTGTTATGGGCTAACAATATTATTATGTAGACAGCAGTTTCCTTTCACATTAAATTATAGATTAATCTAGATGAGTTCTAGGCGTATGTGTATGTATCTTCTATGGGTTTAGCATATCCCACAGTATGTATGTATGTTCGTATCAAAAGAGACAGCAACATCGTCAAAGGTCAACAACAAAGCTTCACAAAAATCGCAGCTAAACACAGAACTAGCCCCTAGATGTATACAACACATTATGATTACGCTATGTTAAGAGTATGCACCATATCATTTTATAGTTTATATTTATCGCTATCGTTCCACATATCGTCGCAACTTGCACACCGCTAGTTCGTCGCCTGGCGCAGTTTCCCACCAAAGATGATGATGATCCCCCCACAAATGTCTACTACATACAGTTATGCAATTGTCCTGGCTCTAATCCTTCAGCTATGCGGCTGTCATGTCGCCACATCGCTCATACGCAGCGTTGTCCAGCTGGAGAGATAAGCCAGCGCGAGCATGGCCGCCAAGAGCAGCCGGCGGCACTCGCATCCGGCCAACTGGCCCGGACCATGTCCACTGCGGGCCGCCGCACTCGTGCTCTCCGGCCAAACGACCTCGACTTCGGACATTTTGAAAATGCTCAGCAGTCGGTGGGATTGGAGCTCACTGTGCTCGCTATTTATTTGATGACTGATGGTCTTCAGTATCGCGGTGCACTCGTCCTGCAAATAGCGAGATAAGCCGCAATAGTCGTCGATTGGATTAGTTGGGGAAATGGATTTGCTAACATTTGACACACAGAGAAAAATTATGGGGCTCCGTTTCAAAATTCAACTTTTTCGTTTAAGAATATTCTTAAAAACTTTGTAACTTCTAACATGTTTTTAGAAAATTATTTTAGTGTATTCTTATGATTTTGTCTAGAAAGTAGTTTATAAAAAATTAAAAAAACCGTTTAAATGCCCGCAATATTTTTCTCTGTGTATCAGTGGTTGGCCCTTGGCATCTCAACGAACCTTCTCCTTGCGCAGCAGCTCAATATCCTTTAGTTTGCCATCGTGCGGCAGACGCGCTGCAATGATTATGTTCTCCTCGGTCATATTGAACAGCGTGAGGGTGCACTGCGTCTGTAGAGGGGAAGACAGAGTGAACCGGCGACGGAATGCAATTAATATATTGCTGGCCACACTTTATTATGCGATCGCCGGACCGGCGGCTTACCTGATTATCGATATATGTGGTTACGTACTGCTGCAGGGCTCGCACGGCATCCTGGACTCCCAGGTTGGTGTGGGGCCTCAGCAGCGCCTCATCCGCTGCACTGTAGCCCAGCAGCAGGAATATTCCACCTGAAACCGAGGGGAAGAGGACGAAATATGTAGCGAGTGGAGCATCAATTGCAGCAAACGTAATTTACTGCCGGGGATCCGCGCACGAGAACGCACGCAAGTGGCGTGTGGCAAGTGGACAAGGACCACGCAACCTTGCTGCCACAATGGGTCCTCTCTTTTTCGTGTGTCAAATACGGTCTAAAGTGGGTCCTCGGCGAAGGAGGTGCCCTGACAAAGGCTTTAAAGAAGTGTGCGCGGGCTGCACTCGGAAATAAATCGGCTTTAAATTTGTCAAGGTGATGAAAAAAGCGGATTTATTTTATCGACATTTTATTTTTTTAATTTAGGATTTTACTACACCCAGTAGAAAATTTTAAAATTTTGTTGAATGTGGTAGCACCGACAAAAGTAAGTGAAATAAATATTTTATCATTTTAAAAATCGTTTCTTTTAATTCGAAAATAATTTTAAGAAAATCCATTTAATTAAATTATGAATAGGAGAACCTATAAATATTTTTGAAAATGTTCTAGTTTAACTAACCAAATTGGTTAGAAAAATATAAATTAAATGCATTTTTTTAATATATTTTTTAATGTTCGCATTGCACATGCAATAGCAATTAGCTGTAATTCATAAAATACTTCTTACAGTTCTAAAGTATAAAACTTGAATTTGTGTAGTGTAGATATCTAAAGGAATTCTCTGGCAGCCGCACGCAAAAATGCTGCTCCATTCCCTCTGACAGCCGTGCCTCGTCATCGCCTGTCGCCTGCGATAATCGCTAAGTGCTTAACGCACAGCGAACCCGACACGCCACCCGGGATGCCCACAATAATGCAGCCAGGTGGTACATACATATAGCCAGGTATTCTATGGGCCGGGGCGGAAAACTAAGGAACTGTCGAGTCGACTCACCTGGCAGAATGTACTCCCCGAGCGGCGGCTTCATGCAGATGAAGCGGCCCGAGTAGCACAGGCAGCGTCCGCGGAATGCCTGGTAGGCGGGGGAGGCGTGGCTGTAGAAGGCCAGGGCGGTGCGGCAGGGGGCGAACGGCACGCAGAGGGCGTGGCAGGTGAGGGTGAGCGACTCGCCGCAGCTGCACAGCTCACTGCACTCGACGTCGTCCAAGGAGTAGATCTGAAACGGAAGAAGAATTCCCCCCGCGGGCGGAGAGGTGAAAACGATGAGTGAAGTGCAGTTAAGTTGGGGAACAAAATGGCATCGTGCCACGGGACGGGGTACATTACGTATACGCCGGGTGTAGTCATAATTAAATGATGGCACAAACAAAAGCGAAATTTATTTCCCCACTTCTACTTTGCCAGCTGAATTTCTATTTATATTTCATGATTCCCTATTTTCCACCAGCACGTGCCGACACGTGCTGCACTCGAATCCAACTTTGCATGCGAATATTTTCAACTTTTTAGCCAACTGGCCATTTTCTCGGGCTTAACTTTTAGTTATGTAAATGCGCTAGAAAGCACTTTCTCAACAAAGCCAGCCAGAGAAATAAATGAAATATTAATTTGCACTTATTTGACTATGGACTTGCATTAAGTGCGTTATTAAATATAACGCTCTTAAATGGCTGGCTATATTAATTGTTATTGTTTTTGATTTGTCACTTATTTATGTACTTACCCGCTTGCTGCTGCCCTCACGAATAAGTTGATCCGATTGACGTGGTCGCTGGACAACACAGTTTCCTGCAAATAAAATCATATTGAAGGCTTAATTGATTGAATAATTCATTAAAGCAATTTGGCGATGGAGGAAGTTCATTCATAAACCAGTTTAACGCCTTTAATGGAACTTAATTCTCACTCTATTTGCACCACGTTGTCGGGATTTGTTTTTTTTGGGACCATGGTCTTGACTTTACACCACCCACAAGCGGACATACATCCCTTTTTTGTTTGTTGGCTCTTCGGTGGCAGCCAACGTACACAATGCGACCCTGCCACTCATGCCCAAATAACGGATGTCCGCCACTCATGTGGAGCATTCATCATGTCATCAACGCCATTACGACTTTTTGCCTGGCCAAAAAGTTTCGCCGGCAAAGGGGTGAAGCTCCGTGTTTATATGGCACAAATTTGCACATGCATACACACTTGAGACCCCGAGTTGAAGACTTTGCCACTTAATTACCACCAGTGGGCAACTTAAACTGCCAAGATGCAACTTAACTGCCACCTGGGGCTTTGCCATCTAATCAAAATCCCTATTTCGGGCCAACTTGGCCAATAAAGCCGTTATAGCAGGCACATAAATAAATGAACCCTGCTGCACGGGGGTCGGTGCTTTCAAATGGTTAAATATAGTTTTAAAATCTCCACCTCACTGCACGAGCAAAATCAATTATGGATGAGACACAAACGGGTTCAGCTGCGGGCCAGAAACATTTCATGCAAAATTCAAAGCCGAATGTCCCAAGTGTCTAAATAATTACAACGGACGAGCTGACCACACGGGATGACGAACTGAATGAATGACTGACTGACTGACAGAGGGACAGTCGGACAGACTGATGGACTGTTGGGCAAACAAACAAACTCATTTACATTTTTAATGATGTTTGTAAACACGTTTCGACCCCGGGGTCCCTGTGATAAATGAATGGACTGTAAGCGATGTCCTCGGCAGGAGGTTTTAAATAACGGAAGTATTATCACAATGCAGTCGAGTGATATGTGTGCGTTTGGCATTCAAAACCTAATCGGATTTGCCAATGTCCTAGGTTCGCAAGATACCCCGGCATTTTGGAGGAACTTTCATGCGTTTCGACGCACCTATGTGAATGTGTGTGTACTCGTATAATTGCCACATCGGCCGAAAGCAAACTCATTTCCGGTTAGGCGTATGAATGTGCGGGTGGGGCAACCATTGCGGATACTGAATTTTAAATGTTCGGCGCACAAAATATTAAAATAATAATCACGGCCGGCGCTGAGTTATGCTTTCAATTAGCCAAACAACCGCAGTCACCGCATCAATTATGTTGAAAACTTCAAAACGGAAACGATACCCAAAAGTACAAAAATGAAGAGTGATGAGTGTGCACTGCTAAAAAAAACTACCCGCCTTATGAATGTTTTATTCAACAGATACCAAAGTCCATAAACAAAAAAAGGTGTTTATTTAAATTTTAACAAACCTTTTTCATATATTAAATGTTAATATGTAGTGTTTTAAATATAGAAAAAATAAATTTGGGTCTAGAAAAAGCCAGAAAAATATTTTCTTTTTTTTCTGCACGAGTCTTACATTTGTCTTTCAAGGGTTTATAATTTTTTGCAGTATGACTCCTAAATAATTAGTAAAAGGGTGGATATGACTTAGATGGCACATCAGAGACTTTGTTATTATTTGCCTCATAATTGGGGGACAAAGGAGTAACGTTTTCCTGTCAAATCCGACCTCAATTGGATGTCCGATTCCGACTCACTGGGCGCTCCAATTTATTACCCACTTGCATTTACTTACTTGGCGGCTGTGTTGTTGTCGTGGTGGCCATCGTTGTGGTTGTTGTGGTTACCGGCTCCGTGATGCTGATGCCCACAAATTCTGTTGTTTCCCTTGGGTCGACGAAAATTACTGGATCATCGAAATCTACACTGCCGCCACGTCCCTTTCCGCCATTTTTACGTCTGCCATTCGCATGCCCATTCCCGTTGCCGTTACCATTGCCATTTCCATTTCCGTGTCCATTGCCGTTGCCATTGTGATAATCGTCATTTCCGCCATTTCCGCCGCTCTCGACATTTACGCTGGGCAGCGGTATTGAATCGGGCGGATCGAGATAATTGTGTTCCACCGATGTTGGCTCTGATTTCTCTTTTGGCTGCCGTTTTCACCGACATTTTTTGTTGTCATTTTTTGTTTCAGTTCGGTTTGGTTTTGCGTTTCGTGGTTTTTCAATTTTGTTGTATATTTTTTCCCGGTAAATTTTTTTGTATTATTTGTTTCATATTTGTTGTTTCGCATTTTTATTTATTTATTTGCATTTTTCGTGGTTTTTGCGGTTCATTGTTGCAATTGTTTGGGAGGAAGAGAAAAGATGTTAAAGAGTTTGAAAACGAATGCGGATATATACGTGTATATATATATTTTTGTGTGTGGGGGAGGGCTTAATCTTTTTGCCGCTCCGGCGGCAAAGGCAGCAGCATTGGCTGCAGGTCAGGAATTGATTGCTTTGTCGGTTTGCCAACCCGAGGAACTGGGCCACAAGCAGCAACTGAATCAAAGTTTCACTGGGAAGCGTACCCACACTCGGAAAAAGGATGGTTTATATTGGAACTCGTATTTTGTGTTATTAAACAAATTATTTAGTGTTTTATGCTAAGCTGAATCTGATCTAAATCATATATATATCAGTACATCATTAAAAAATGTTTGTTTTAATTATTTTAAATATTTAATTGTTAATGTCTTCTAAAAAATGAATACTTTTTTTCAAGATAAAAAAATACATTAAAGTATTTAAAGAAATATACAAAAGCTTTAATAATATTTGGATTTCGTCTTTTAATTAGTATTTTATTCCTTCAAATGATAAAAAGAAATAGGTATATATCATTTTGTAAGTTGTAGGTTAACAATTCGACTTAAAGCATCCTTTTTCCAAGTGCAGGATACAGTGGTCTGTTGACCAAAGCACAATCCGGGGGCGAATTGAGGGTGTGGACTCTGGTTTGACCTGGCATGTTGTGTGGCATATTGTCCGCTTTGCCGTTCGCCCAGCCACGCCTCCGCCGCCCCATTTGAGCCACTGATTGAGTGCTGATTGGAAAACAGAAAACGAACCGACCGACGGACTGATGGACGGACAAAAGGACAACCGGCCAAGGTGAGCGGATTGAGGGAACGTTGGGGGAATTTCGAACAGGTAACTGTTGTTGATGCTCGTTAAAATCGAACCGAAACAGACGATTCGAATGGGATTAACCACTAGTCGACCGCAGCGGGGCAATTAGGACCCAAATGGGAGTATAGGACGCCTAAGTAGGCACTCACCGCACTGAGGTCCTTGAAGATGTGCGTCGCCGGCTTCCTTGGCGTTTGCCTCGGCTGCAGGCTGGTCGTCGTCGTTGCTGCTGTTGTGGTGGGCGGCGGTGGGGGCGGTGGTGCTCGCGTGGTCGTCGTCGTCGTTGTTGTTGTCGTCGTGGTGGTTGTCGTTGTTGTGGTGGTAAGGAAACCGAGCTCAGCCAAACGCTTCATATGGAAATCCTTTTGAGCCTCAACTGTCAAGATTCAAAGAAGTCGAGAGTTAATAAGCTAGCAAAGGAACATGTCTTTTAACATTATTTCGGGATAGTAGAAAAAATTTCCCATTTCAATAAGATTTTATTTTATTTATCAAAGTGCTTGAGACTTACCCACACAAGGGTTCATCCATAGAAGGCGTCGCCATCCCACACACTGGTACAGGTGCTGGGGATCCGTACCTTGGCAGGCACAGGTCGTCCTCAACATGGTGCCCAGAATGCCAATCATGGCGGTTCGGCAGCCACTCGGCCTGCCGGCACATTTTTTGGTCACGCTATCCACGGCACAGGCCTGTTCGTAATACTCCAACTTCAACCTGATACAGGAAATACAAGAAATATGCAGAAAAAAATTAAACAAAATTATATTAAGTGTTTATTAATATATTTATAAATTAGTTACTATAATAATTATTTTTTAATTGTTTATTAATTGAAAAGTCTCTTTCATTTATGTTCTATAATTATCTGTTCGACATTTCCTTGAGAGTAAATTATTTATAGTGTTTAAATCTAACTTACAATATATACGACTTTAAAAATCCTAACACATTTTCCTTAATTTTTCCAAGATGCAGTGATAAGCAGCCTCGTAAACCCAAGTAAGCTCCCCAAAGAAGATGTCATCCCCATTTCCATCACGGAGGCAGTGCCTCTGCCGATGCCTTCGTGCCTGTCATGCGCCAGTTAGCTGCAGATGCAGTTCTCCTGGCGGAATGGCCCCCACTCCTCCGGAGATTCCGGTGATAAGTGGCCGTTACCTGCAGTGCAGCTTCTCTCTCACCTGAGATTGATGTCGACCAATTTGTGCCGACATTACTCTCGGCATTCTACGGCATTTCATCGTCTTGGACGAACACCCATTCCATTGCCGCATCAGGGCGACTGAATTTATGAGGCCCCAATCTCAGGCATTCGGGTTGTGATTTTTGGTCAATAGCCATGCGACGTATGCGTAATATTTCAATTGCAGTTTATCGACTCAAGGCGTCGACTTGGACATTCCAATCTGATGGGATGCTACCTAATTGTGGTTGCAGGTGAGCGTTTGCAATAAACACCGCCAATCTAGATTGGCTTCAACTGAGGTGGAACCAATTTCGTGTAAGTTTGTACCTTTATTTACAGATTATTGACTTTCAAGTGAATTAAAAAAATAGTTTAAATAAAATTAGGTCACTTTCCGAAATAAATAATCATTTTATTGCAATATATATTTATTCAATTGACTTATCCACATCATAAAAAACCTTACGTATGAACCCCACTTAACTTTTAAGGTTACTAGTCATCCTTAGAAAAACGCTTCTAAAATGCCATAACGTTTTTGTAAGGATTCTTGAAAAACTTTTCCGTTCGCCATTTACCAGCAGAACTTTTGCAGCCTTAAAAAGTGCATATTTCTATATTTCCACCCGCTTATCTCAATCTACGAATGACGCAAAAGCAGAGGTTTTTTCCGCTTTCTAAGTTGGTTGCGTAATGCCATCAACGTTTTGTGCAACCGAAAGCTGCAGTTTAAGACGTCAGGGCTGCAGCTTCGATGGCAGCCAAACAAATGAGCATTCTGCGCCGGAAACACGTTCGTAAGGGGCACGTGTTGGCGCACAACGCGTCGTATACGTAATAAGTCAACATAAGCACTCCACACGTTGGCTCGAACTTCTCGCAGAAGAGGCCCCTTTCGGGCCCATTCCCCCCCCCCCTGTTGAAGCATACAAAATGAGCGTCATTAGTCCAATTTAGTTGTTTACCAAAGCAAGTGCGATTCACTTAAAAGGCAATTAATTTCCACAGCCACAGCTACGACCACGTACTTTGCGGTCGTTCAGCCGTAACATGACAACAAACAAACAAACACGCACACACACACACACACGCACTCAGCTGGCAAACCATCCACCCACATCTAAGCATGTGCATCCGAGCTGATGGAAGCTGCAGGGTGCTGCATCGTATTTATAACTTAACTTTGTGTTTGACACATTCACGCGGTCTGGCCTGCAAGTTTCAGCTGCCTTTTCAGCCGTCGCCTAATGAAGAGCTGTTCCGTGGAGATTGAGAAGTTGCCCCCGGCAAACTGGTAATTTTATGCCTCGGAATTTGGGAGTACCATGCTCCAACAGCCAAGAAGCCATCTAACCAACTATCCCGAGCCCTAGCCCGTGCCACGGTGTCAATTTAACGAGTTCAGCTGAGTGCCATCAAAGTTGCGGCTTTCGCTGACTTTGCCGTGGCTAAACGCCTCTAATTCAATATCACGGCGCGCCCGAGACTAAGTCTGTGAAATTCAATTTGGCTTAATTGAATTGGCGGTGAAATTAAAAACATGCTTTTTGGCAGTTTCACACATGTGTGATTGTGTTGATAGCAAGTTTAGTGCCAACTTTTTGAAAGTTTTTTCTTAAAGAACTTTAAAATAAATTTTCAAGAAAATTAAAAAAGAAATTTTAATGAATATAAAAATTCCTAAAATAATAATATTAAAGTGGAAATCATATTAAATTAAATTTTACAATAAATTTTGTTTTTACCAAAATTGTAACAGGAACTTAATTTCTTTGCGATGTAATCAAAAAGAAATATTAAAGATTTTTTGTTTCACGATCTTTAAAGGGCAGAAAAGATTTTAATGAAATTAAACTGAACTCAAATTAAAATTTAGATTTAAGTTAAGAAATTTTAGCCAGTATAGATGAATCCATTCGCGATACTAAATAAATCAATATAAAATAAATAAAAAAATTTTTTTAAACAATTTTATTAGTTGTAAATATTTGGAAACCCAACTATAATATTAAAGATTTTGATTTAAAATTACAATAATGCCATAATGTAATTTTAGCATTGCAACTTTATATCCAGCACGTATCCACCACCGCGGTCGGGAAATAAACATTGCATCGCGCATATTTCCGGTTCCGCTTAACGCTTAACGCCCGATTTTTGAATTATGGCCCTTGACCCAGAGCCAGACCCACCTGCACTCTCGATCCTCCTTGCAGCTGTCGGCGACCACGTGACAGGCGGGCGGTGGATGGTAGTAAATGCCATTGGAGCTGGCCGGATTACTGTTATCGGGCGGTCGCTGTGCGCACACGGGATGCAGTTTTTCCTGTGCAATCATGCACATGTCGTGCCGATTGCCATTGCCGTTCTGCTGGCCACCGCTTGTTTTTCTGAAACGAAACCAAGGGACAATGGGTTTGTAGTTGGGTTCGTTGTTTGTCCAGTACCAGTTGCAGTGCCACCACTCGGCTGCCCAGCCACTTACTTGCATAGACAAAAGGCGATGTCCAGATTGAGGTCCTCGTGGGGCCCCTTATAGAAGGCCTGCAACGAGGACATGCACGCGTTGCGATTGCACCGGTGCAGCTCACAGTGCGTCAGCATTGGCTGAAGGGACGATGAGCAGGACGGATCTTCCCGGCAAGTGTCCAATGCCGTGTGACAGGTACTCTGCGGGGGGAAATACACAGGGGGAAAAACCGGATTGGTTATGGTTATTTTGCTATATGATATGATTTAGCAATATAGTTCTAAGCTTTCTTCAGATTACTGTAAGACTCAATAAAAAGCCTTGAAATATCTTATTCAAAAATACCAAACCAAAATTTAATAATTTTATTGACAAAAAAGATTATTAAGAAGTAAAGTCTCAATCTTTTTTTTAATTATTTATGCAATCTACCACTTTTTTTTTAGTTGTAAATAAAATTCTGATATAAAATATTCTGAAATAATCCCTTTATATGTAAAAGGTTTTCTTATGTTTAGCTTAACATGTCTGAAAGAGCTTTGTACTAGTTTTATATAATGGGTTTTTCAGAATATTTTTATACCCGTTACTCGTAGAGTAAAAGGGTATACTAGATTCGTGCAAAAGTATGTAACAGCTAGAAGGAAGCGTTTCCGACCCCATAAAGTATATATATTCTTGATCAGGGTCACTAGCCGAGTCGATCTAGCCATGTCCGTCTGTCCGTCTGTCCGTCTGTCCGTCTGTCCGTCTGTATGAACGCTGAGATCTCAGAAACTACAAAAGCTAGAAGGTTGAGATTTTCCACGCATATTCTTGGGCTTCCTACGCAGCGCAAGTTTATTTTAGCCGAGCGCCACGCCCCCTCTAACGCCCACAATCGCCCACTAACGATTTTAAAATGGGTCCTGCGCCCACATCTTTAAAGATTTCCGAAAAGTATAAATGCAATTTTGTTGTGTATATTTATACCTATCGAAATGTAGAAGACATTTTTCAAATCGGACGATTCATTAAAAAGTTATACGCAATCAAAAATTATATATCTATCTCCCTCGCACTCCCTTTAGCTGAGTTACGATTATTAGTCGGGACACCAACCCGACACAGCGTTCGCACTCCCTTTAGCTGAGTGACGGGTATTAGATAGTCGGGACAACAACCCGACTATAGCGTTCTCTCTTGTTTCTTTTATTCTTATTAAAAAATCAATTTGTACTTTACATTTCTTATAAAGAAATATTTAATTTCTTATAAAAAATTTTTAATTTTGTTAATGTATTTAGTAAAGAATATGCCTTTTTTTTAATGGTCAAATAAATATTTAGTTTCATTGCATTGCCCAACTTTTCCTCAGTGCAACGTAATAAACGCTACAAATTGTGTGAGCTGCACTTTGCATTTTCCATGACTCGTTTCGGGGGCTTTTCTTTGCACTCACCTGAAAGTGTTGCTTGATTATTTCCGTTGAGAGGTCAACTTCGACATCCTGACCACCTGCAACCGGCCAAACGTGCCCAAGTGTGTCAGTCGCATTTGCATTTGCATTTGCATCGAGTAAATGTTGCCCCGGGGAGACGATCGAGTGGGGATTTGTCGTTGGGCAAAATGGTGACCGCAGCGGAGATGCGTAGAGAAAATGTTTGAAATAGTTCATTAGTTTTCGATTTGCGCAACCCTTTTCCAGCATACTCGATTCGATTCGATTTGGATACGGATTTGGCCACCCAAAAAATCCTGTGCCGCCTGTCGCCAACCAACTTGGTGAACTGCATTAGCCCGCTTTAATCGAATTGGGTTTGGTTTAAGTCCAATCATCCGGCTTTTTGTCGAAATGAATTGTAAAATCGCTGATTACGCCAATCGAGAGTGGATGGGCATTTAGAACTAATTAAAATGCTGAATTCATTGGCAGCCTTTGTTTGTGCATATTTGCCGCTGCTCGGTCTTAATTAATTTCATTTATTTATATCCGTTTTTAGCCTTTTATTTGCTCGTTCACTCTCAATTGGCTTATTTATTTATGGGATTCAGGTGTAATTCACACATCAAGCTGAACCCGGTGCTTAACTGAAGGCCAGAAAAGTGGTTTTGATTATTGAGAGCCCATGGGCCTAATCATAACTCAATTACTATACCATTTCCATAGCCGAGCTGCAATCGGAATATCAATCACGGCCGCTGGTTGGCTCGGGCGGCAGCAGTTATCGATTGCATTTTAATTAACCAACTTTTTGTTCGCTCTTCAGTTTCAATTGGTAATCACAAAACGTTCAAATGCCCCCGCACTTCGAACTCCGCACCCCAAACGACCCCTCGCACCAGCACGAAAAAATGATCGAAATTATTAAATCAAAATAACAAAAATGCACATAAATAACGTAAATTAAATGCAAATATTCCACAAATTTGTTTATTGCCTATTACTGGAATCCGGGGTAGAGGCGTAGAGATATTGAGAGAGTGAGAATCAATTGGGGAGTTCGGTTCGGGGATATTACTTTCAACGTTATAGGGGCGTGGTCGCAGGGTCTGCAGGGCTGGCAAAACACAACTAAGTTCTATATATGAGTTATATATATATTTAGATGAGAAGTATAAGTTTGTTATTTTATTTATTGGTTTCGACTTTAAAAACTACCAAACCTACTGATAAAAACATTCTGTTTTTGGGGGATCGGCAACGACATTCTAGCATAAGACTGTACTCCTTGGTGGCTGTGTATTTAAATGGGGGCATGATTTATTTATCAGGTTTTCTGGGGTCCCAGCCTGGGATTCATGATTCTATGCTAATGCTCTGACGACTGTGGGAATGTGTTTCTTTGGCATACTTATTGGTTTTCAGTACTCTGAGTGTGTGTGTGTGGTCTTTGAAAGGAAAACATAAACGCTTCGCTGCGGACTCAGCAGAAATAAAACGAATTTATGCTCGAATAAAAAAAGGTACGAATGTAAACGCAAATAATTAGATTTCAAACGGAAAAGGAATAAGCCAAACAGAAAGTCGAGCGGCGGCGGAAAAGCGAACGAAAATGTCTTAACAAAATCAATTTGTATGTTTTCTCTTTGAGGCGAATTTCGCGACTGCTCTTAGCGTTGAATTCGCTCAGTTTGTTTTTAGAATTATGCTGAACAAAAGTCCTGGAGAGGGAAGTTTTTGATGTTTCGGTGACTTTATTGTATGAAACAATGAGCTCGATGTCTTGTGAACTTGAATGTAGAATGTAGGACACAGAGGTTTGCAGTTGAAGGGGTCCGAACAATGGCTTGGATCTCAAAAAATTTGATCGAAAACGCTTTATTTGTTATGTTTGAGTGTGGTAACTGTTATTGTCTTGGATTCAAAAACTGGGTGCGTTGGAAAAAATTTGAAAAAGTGTGCTGGAATTGAATGTAACAAAATTGAATTGGTTTTCTTTTGGTTTTTTTGTTCTTTTGGTTTAGGTTTAAATATATATTTTAGGAAAAAATTAAATGAATTTTGTTTAGGTTTTGGTTTTGTTTAGGGTTTTCATTTTGCTCACTTAACATACGAAGAAAGTAAGGATCGAAAATATTCACAACTTGTATACAGTTTTCTAATTTCACTCGTTTTTTCTAGATTTTTTGTTAGATAAACAAAATGACAAACAAAATTCATAGAAAGGAATTGATTTTTAACGCATTGGAAGCAAATGGTTTGTTTTAATTTTGTTTTTGGTATATTTCTTGTAGGAAAATTTCAAAAAACTCTCAAAACAATTGGCAAGCTACGTAAAAAGAATTGAACACAAAAGCAATTGAAAGAGTTCGAGATATGTAAATATTTTTATATATGTATAGAAATTGTAAAGTATAAATTGTTTGTATTTGTAACTATACTTAGTTTGTTTTTTGTTGAGCAATTGCCAAAAATTATGCACAAAGCCAAGAGGCGCACGGATCGCGCCAAGTTGTATATTTATATATTTATATATATTCACCTTCAACACAAAAGCAAAAATTGGAATGAACTCGATGTTTTGTCAAAAAATTTACCTGCAACTCGGGGGTGTTTTTGGTTACAGGGGGACGACACAGAACGGAAATCATAAATAAATTCACAAAAATCTATCTAAAATGGTGAACGAACGAACGAAAATGAAACAACGAACTTTTTGCCTGTTAATTAGTTCTACGAGTTTGCACACACACATATTCTGGATTTGGTTGGCTGTGTGTACTGCTGCGTATTATAATTTATATATAACAGATATATATTTTTTAAAACTGGTTTTTTTGCTTGGTTGGTTTGTAGTTAGTTGGTCGTGGATTTTGTTATTTATGGATTACGTTCATGCTAATACGTGTACACATACTTTGGTAGTAAACACCGGCATTTCCGTTTCCGCCGTAGCCCAAGCCCGTATCAATGATATCGAATGGCTCATTATCGACAGCCGCCGCTGCCATGTGCCGCTGATGGAAGCCGCTTATATTGAACGGATAGCTGGGCACGCCGTGCATCGAGCCCGGATAGTTAAAGCTGCCGGATACTCCCATTCCCATGCCCATTCCGTAACCGGAACCGGAAACGGATCCGGATGAGGTGACCGTGCCGGAACCGGAGCCCATGACTATTAGTGGCGTATCAATTAGGGCCAAATTATCATTGAAGATTCTCTGATGCAGTTTCTCGTCCATGCCCAATATTCTTACTGCAATTTGAGGTTAGCAAGAAGAAAGAGGGTAGAAGGGTTGTAGTTGTTGTGGATTGTTGGTTGTTCTTGTTCAGTGCCATCTATATAGTTGTTTGATCTGTTGTTGTAGTTGTAGTTGGAGTTACTGTTGTGACTGTAGTTGCAGCTACGCAGCATTTGAGTTATCCAATCAGATTCGCATAAATTTCTGTATATATTTTGTTGTAGCATTTGGCTTTCTTACAATCAATTTTATTGCTATTAATATACTTTTGATTGACGTATGTAAAAAAAAGAACGCTTTAAAAGAAAATCATATTTTTTTTTTGATATGGCCGGTAGTTACTTGGCACGAAACGAAAGAGTTTCCATTCGGAAACAAGAAACTGATACAGATAGTGTCAACGAAACGAGAGAGAGATAGAAAAACTTGAACAAACATACAGAGGAGAGTGTGAGAAATGCGGTGCCAACAATTATCGTTCAAAATTAGTGCAGGACAGAGCAGACGAGTGAAACGTTTTGCATTCTAAGCGTAAGAGAAGCAGAATCGTTTTTCGAATTGTTTTTAGCCCCCCAATCGATTTCCATTACAGGTTTTGCGTCTCGCCACGCTTCGATTGCCATTTGCTATCAATGGCAAAACATAAACAGAAGACAAACAGAAGCGCCTGTCTCTGGGTCTCCGTCCGTCTGACTGTTCGTCTGTCTGTCAAATGTCATGCGCTGATAGAGCGGCCAAATGGCAAACGGGTCGGTCTCAAAACGGTTTGCAACCGCAGCAGTAGCTCCGCTATCATCTGCGACACTTGGGGAAATATATTATTTTTTTTCAATTGCACAAGGACACAGAATCAGTTATATTGAAATTGAGTTAAAAAAAAAATTGTGTGCATTAAGTTTAACGGTTTCTGGAATATATATTCCTAGTATTTTCCTAGTATTGATCTCTGTGGAGAAGGTAAAATCTATGTAATCTATGTAATAATGTCTAAAAAATTTGTATAATTCCGCCAAAAAAATTATAGACTTTTATTGTTAATTCTGATAGTTATTAAATAGTTATGTAAATCATTAAAATGTTTATTTTAATCTTTTTTAATTTTAAGATAATATTTTTTTTAGGTATTACTCCGTATTAATAATACTATTTAAAATCGTTTAAACTTCTTTAGCTGATTAGCGTATTTGCCTAATAAATTATTTTGCTGTTCATAAAACTATTCAACTGGTTAAAAATAAAACATCTATGTAAATACCACATTTGTATTTTTGGTAACATTTTTTGTGCCAGTGCCAAAATGGCTTATCTCGCCGAGAGCACGCCGAAGTGCGCTTCATTTGCGGCGTCTGGCAAGCTCAAAAGGATGCCAACCCCAGGGCCGCGCCCACCTCCCATTCCACCTCGCAGGAATGTCTGTTGGAGGGTCCACTGCTGGCGCTAAATGGCCAAGGATTTGCCAGGATACGTGCGACGTACTTATGTTTGTCGCTCGCATTGCCATCGCAAATATTTGCACAACAAACAGCTCAGCACAGAACAGAACAGAACTGAAATGTCTTGGGAGGGTGGCTTGAATGGGATTAGCTCCGTTTGTTAACTGTTATCGCGCTTGTAAGCTCCTCCTGTCGCTGAGTGGATCTGTGTCATCTAATTGTTGCGTATACGCCGCGTTGGCTTCCTTACAAAACGTTTCAGCTTCAGCTGCACTGTGGGGGTCATTGCATGCCATTTAACATTTAACCAAAGCACAAAGTTCCTATAAAGTTGAATGGTGGTACTGAATGTACAGATACAGATACAAATACGGTGCGCGAAATTTAAACGAACTCATAAACAGTGGAAATAAATTTCGAGAATGTGCAATAATTTGAAAATTACATTCTGGCCAAATGCGTGTAATGCTGGAAACGCGAATATGTTTGTCGACTACGGTCTACGTCTGCCATATCAAATAGCCGTGGTTTTCATGCCCTAATTGGGAAAGCTGTGAGCAGCTGCATCACACTTTCGCACACATACAGATACGCACACCGATACCCACATGCAAGGGCATGGCATACATACATACATAGGTGCTTGGCAGGGCGGCGGAATGGTTTGTGGCATCAACATCGCCCTCTGCTACTTCTAAGTGGATTGTACAATATTATGAAAATACTTATTGCACGCAAACATCGTACGGATATATATGTGTTCCATATACATAGCAATGGGTGATGCTGGGTGGTTGTGGGTGTGGGTGCTTAGTTTGAGGGTGGTAAGTGGGTGGGCGAGGTGTAAGGGTGCTTGGCAAGAGTGTTAGCTTCATTTTGTTGTTGGCACAATGCTGACAAATCGCTTTATTTGCTTTTTAGTTGTGCTTAATTAAATTTTCAAATTGAACGCTCAGCTTAATTTTTATTTACGAGATACCCATTATCTGAGGAGTTTGTGTTACTTTGTTTGCTGCAGTTGAACAATATATTTTTTTTTTCACATGCTATTACTCCCAATATAATTTGGTACCAAAAAAAAGTAGGTACTATTATTATTTTTATTATTTTGAATTATTGTTATATATTATTTTTTAGATTGACACGAAAGCTCTGGATTATAAGGTACGAAAAGCGACGACAGCTAAATCATAAATCCCTACATTGTTTATTTATTTTCATCTGCCATTGTTGCTTTACACATATAAAGCAACGACATAGTGGTATTGTTGATGCCGTTTTTGGAAAATTTAAAGCCCTAGAGGCCATTGACAATGTTTATGCTTTGCATTTGAGAATCCAATCAGTAACAATAACAATTCAATTTAAATAAAGCAGCCCAAATAAAATGCGTCGCCGAACCAGAGCCTTTAGCTTCGATATTTATGCATATCTCTCGCTGCTTTGGGCACAAAAATTCTATGGCCGAAAAATCTGATAACCCTGTCATATTTTGGCTTGTTTTAGTGGCTGCTTGTGCTGTTAATTTAGTGGTCGCCATAAACGTAAATAAGGCAAGTGTCGGTGAAAATGTATGCAAATCGGCAAGTCGGCGTGTGAGTGTGTGCGTATGACGTGCATAAATAGTTTGCTAATATTTACAGCAGTCCCATAGCTCGGCAGCTGCAACAATAGACAAAGCTGTATGCAGAAGAGCACAATGCACCATGCAGGCTGGGGAATTTATAACTTTGTCGAACAGATTGCCGAGTGCATCGAGTCGGAAACAAAACGCCATCGATGATGATGGACGGCCATCGTCAAATGGCAAGTGAAATCTGTGGCAATAAATAAAAAGGGATGCGCAACGGACAGTCAAAGGGCTAAACAAGAGAGGATGCATTGATTAGGCCATTAACAATTGCAGGCAGTCTGTTTTATTGTGTTGGCTGAAATTACCGAGTCTGTGAGTGAGCAGCAAACAAAAGGGGAAAACTTAAAATAGCTGGACAGAGGAATCCAATTCAAGAGACAAAAATCTTTAATTTACTATAACATTTATCTTTAACATGTTAACTTTAAAGTAGGGTAAATTTGAGTTACTTTAATTTAACAGCCAGGCGAGAAAACTGATTTAAATGTATTAAATATTCGGCTTAGATATCAGAAAGAAAATATATATACCATTTTTATATTTCAATACTTTTTGTTAGTGAAAGAGTTTTAAAAAAGGATCAGAATTAAACTAAATTGTTGTATAGACAGATTTTATTTCTTGAACCTTCTCCTCTCAGTGTACTGTGTTTATTAATTAGAATAGAATACCAATAAACCAAAAGCCACAGTGGAGTGCAAGGTTGGAGTTCTAGGGCTTTGCTTTTTGATGACGCGTTAAGGGGTCGAAATGCTTATTTATGGCACTTGTGTGCATTGCATCAGGATATTCGTGAGACTGTGTCAGTGTGCGATGCGTATGTGTGTGTGTTTGTGTGAGTATCTGTGCATTCATGGAACTGCAACTGATTGCCCCTGCAGATAGCTAATGCCATGGAGCGAGCTGCAAACAACAAAGGACGCCTGTTGGCCTGGCCAGAACGCTCGAGTTTGCCAGCTTTGTTTGCCTAATAAGCTTTTCAACAGAGAGCGAGCGAGAGGGTGAGATGCGTGAGAGAGAAGGAGGGGGAAAGTGGTGCAATTTGTGCCAGAAAGAGACAGAGAGAGGGGCATTCGAGTGCTTCTTGGTGCGCTTTAATACATCTTGCTCCTCGGGGAATACTTACTTACACGCCAATTGTCTAATTTATGACCTGACCCTTGGCTTCATTTCTCATTCGCAGTGCATAAATATTTAATTTGAATTAAATGTGACCCAATGAGAGAAGATTACAGAACATTTTGGCATGGCTAGGCAATTATTACCCTTTCTTAACATGCAAACAAAATGTAAAACGGAAGCCATTAAAAATATATTTATAATGCGAAGAGGAAGAGCTTTCCCTGAACTCGCAATACAATTTCGCAAAAATATGTTCCATATTTAATATTAAGAATAGAGAGAACCCTACTAACTAATGAATAGTTGTTTAAAATTTGTAAAATAGTAAAGATCTATAAAAATATTTAATGAAGTCCCAGACAAATTATAATAATTGAAATTAAATGAATAAATAAAATTTGACATAATAATAATAATTTAAGCTTCTTTAATTGCCTCCCAGCATAATGGAATACATTCTTAAAGCTTTAGAGGAAATTAAATATTTAAAGATTTTTATATTCAAAGGTATAAATATCATTTTATCCCATTCCCCCCTTAATTTGACAAACCAAACAGGTTTAAAATTCGCTTTGTCCCTGCTAATAGTTGTTCAAATTGATATTATCATATTCCTGACTTTAATATATACCCCGGAATATCTAAACAAATATATAAATAGCTATCATAATTTAGCAGCAATCGTTTGCACATTTATTTCAAATTGCCAGGGGCGTGCGGATTAAATTACAGGGCAGCCTGGCTAAGTGCAATTAGTGAACTCACCTCGTTCATCCATCGTGGGTCCCGTGTAGGTGCGGTGGGTTATATCGCTGCCGGCAACTAAATCGCCGAGTGGTGCTGTTTTGTGCATTTTGGTGCCAGTGCTGAATAAATTGCAGAGTTGTACAGATAATTAAGTGCAAGTTACAAAACAGAGTGCAGAGTGCGAATGATTGTGGGAGATAAGGAGGGGCAAGGTAAACAACCGAAATGCATAAGTAGATTTGGCAAATTACATAAATCTGGCTTGTTACGGAAGAAACTGACTTAAGATGGGCATTAATCGGCTTAGGGCATTACGAATACAATGGCCAATTATTATTATTATCATTTTACCAAGCCGAGGAGCCAAAGGCTATGAGCCCCCCATCCAATGGAAGTCTGCAGTCTGACTGGCATTAAAAATTCATTTTGTCTCCTGGCTCACTGGTATATCTCAAAGATGCAATGCATTAAAATCAGATTATATAAATGCTCGACAAGTGCCCAGGGAGCCGATTAGTACGAGTGCCTGGCCGTTTGCTGTCTGGACTTATTCATTAGTTGGCTTTTTAACCGGAAATTGTGGCATACCCAAGTGAGTCAATTATTTTAAAAGCTTTTTGCATAAAGTTCTCGGCTCCTCGGTGGTTAAGAGTGGAGTTAATGAAAGTCTATAGGGGTGGGCGGTGGCCATACGAGTATTCTAGCAATCACACACACACATATGTGTGTGGGCTCTAAACTTTCTGAAAAAGTTTGCCAGTTTACCAGTCGAAGATGCCGGCTTAAGTCAGCCGAGAAAGGGAGGGGGATAACTTTTGCCAGGTATAACTTAGCCAGCCGCATACTTAGGTGGGCTGGGAATCGTGGGTGCCGGAGGTCCAGATCCCGTCGTGGAGCTCTGATCGCCGTGGCTGTAGAAGGTGTGCGAGTGCGGATGCGAGTGGGAGTGTGGGCCGGCATCCACCACCACCACCACGTCGTGCTCCAGCTCAACGTTATGGTGGTGCACTGACACAGGTGGCTTCTTGTTGGCCACCACTTCCACCACCACATCATCGTCGTCGTCCAGAGTGTGCGGACTGTGCGAGGCCAGGACCAAAGGATTGTTGATGCCCCACGACGGCGGATGAAGGTAGTGCGGGTAATTCGAATAAATCTCGGCTCTTATGCGGTCATCATAATCATCGTCCTCCTCCTCCACCTCATCGTCGTCATTCCCATCGTCATGGCCATCGGGATCCTCGTCCTCCGTCTCGTTGCCCTCGTCCCCGGGATCGTTCAGTCCGTTGGGCTCATCGTGGTACTCGATATTGTTGGTCATGAGCTCCGTGCCATTGATGCTGTGGTACCTCTGCCTCGGCTTGGGTTTCGGTTTGGATTTCGCTTTCGGTTTTGGCCGCGGCTTTGCCTTCGGTCGCGGTTGCTTCAATTTGGGCAGACCGTTGGGGAAAAATATTAGTCTATCTGCAAGGGGAAAGGGGGAAATGGGAAAGCAGGATGGGAAAATCGAGGTGCATGCGTGCGGAAAAATAGAGAAAATACATTTAGTGCCGGTGTGGTGCAAATTGTTGCTATTAAACCAAGTGTGCCAGTGTGTGTGTGCTCGGGTATTTAATTAGTGCAATTAGTGTTTACTTGTATAATAAAATTCAGCGAAACGAGAGAATGGGATCATACTGCTCTGGGGTGCTGTTAATCCATTAGTGCAGGTGGCCGAGTGTGGAAGAGTGGAAAATGAAATTATGCTTTAAAGAGTAGTTGTTTTCGTGGTCTGGCGGTGGTGGGCGGTGGGAAATCAAAGCTTTCAACCGACTGAGATTATTCTAGCCCTACTCCTGCCCACTAAATGGCGAAATGACAGGACAGAGTGTTAGTATAGCTTGAGGTCTAGCGTTAGTCTTACAATCTAGGGTTAGAGAGAGTTAGTTCTAGAAGTGGTGTTCTTTTTGGTGCAATCAATCTAAAGCACAGACTCAGTTCGCTGGGTGGCAGTTAACTTTGGCGAGTGACTGTATGTTGTTATGGGCGGATAGCTTACAGCTACAACAAACTTGGTTAAGTGACAGATAGAGAGCGAGATAGGTAGAGAGATAGAGAGAGAGATAGCACGGCAGCTTTGGTTTACATTGATATACATTCGTATACGTGATATTTAGGTTTACTGAGCATAGCTAATGTTCGTACAGTATGATATATATTGGATATAGGCATATTGATTACTGTTTACTGATCGCAGAACATGGGTTTCATTTTGGGTTTTTCTCTAGTTGGTTTTTGATGCAGAAGCGTGCGATAGTTTAGTTTCTGGTTTTGTTTAGGTTACTTAAATGGTTAGGCTAGTTTCGGTTTTTGAGCGTTTCACAAAATTACAACAACCGAAAAGGAATCAAAGTCGAAAAGGTAAAGGAAACCGAAAACCAAATTAAAACAAAATCAAAATAGTTTCGGTTTGGGCAGGTAATGGTGATCATCATTTACCGTACGCATAAGAAAGGAACACAAGAACTTGGATACCAGAGGTTGACAGAGAAAGAGAGACACATAAGAACAGAGGACAATGAAAACGAAAAACTATATAGTTTATCCACGGATTTCAAAGCAATTGCTTTTTCTCTTCTTTTTTTTTACTCTCAGCTGTTTGTGTTGTTGCTTGTTGTAGTTGTTATTGGTTGGTTGTTGTTATAGTTGTTTTCTGAAGTCACGGTCAACAGTTCAGCAGCGCCAGTCGAAACTTACCCACACACGGATTGTGATTAACAATATTAAAGATACGATCACAGCGCTTTTTCATATGATTGTTCGGACAGATGCATCCGAACATGGGCGACAGCCGCAGGTTGGTCCAGGAATCGTGGCAGGCGTCCCTGGAAAAAGAGAGAGAGCGATGGTAGCCCCGGTTAAACAACACTCATTCCATCTAAGTCGTTGCGGGCTTCCAAACCCCAGCTAATTGAATTCATTTCGAGTCCCCAACCGCCGCAACCGAAGCCGCATCGCCAGCGACTTCCGTTCGGGGCATGCAAAGTTTAAAATTGCCAATTACATCAAAAATGCATGTGCACCTTGAGAAATTAAAATTCATTCAGTAGGGAAATGTTTGGAAAAAATGTTAGGCTATTTCAAAAATTTTAAAACTTTTATTTTCCTATGTTTCGATGTTTAAACATTTTTCATCTTAAATTTTTTTAATAAATTTTTATTTTAATACAACGTTTAACTTATTTATAATGTGATTTATATTTTTATTGTTTTTTATTAAGTTCACTTCTACTAAAAAACCTAAATTTTTCACAGTGTACCCACACGGCGCTGCAATTAATATTTTATCGCATAGGTGGATCTCAACCCGAACCGAAAACCCGCAGCCCGAAAGCCTGGCATGCGTGAGGAAAGTTTTAGGCTGGGTCGGTGGGATGAAGGGGGCGGAGTTTGTAGTGGAAGTGGAGAACTTTAAGACCAAGTTTCAAAGTCTGCACCGAAGTCAACTCCCAGCGCCAAGCGCCCAACTCCCAGCAGCCGCCGCAAAAAGTCATTTCGAGTTATTAAAACATTCAGAACGTTTGTATTCAAGTGTATCGAGGCAACGAGCCATCGGGGCAATGAGCCAGACGAGTCCTGGCAGGGAGGAAATCGCGTCAGTAAGGATATGTGATGGCTAAAGGAAGCAGCAAGATGCCGGCAAGCAGGAAGTTTCATTTCGCCTTCTGTTCGCTCAACTTGACTCCTGTTTACGCTGCTGTCTGCTGTATGCGTTGTGTTTTTTGCCAATAAAATCGAATACCGAAATTGAATGTAGCAAGGCGGCTGGGGGGTGGTTTGCTGGCTTTTGCCCCCTTTTTAACCCAGGTGGGTAAACTCCTCCCCTCTTTGCCGACTGCCAATGCAATTTGCATTCACCGTTAACCATTAAGCGGCACGACCGCGCTGCGGCATGGAGCAAATCAATTTTCTTATTAAGTCAAACACGCTTTAATTTAATTTTCATTATCGGAATTGGCTCTCGGTAGTGGACTTCGATTTTCCATTTTCATAATTTACTTTATACTTTAATCGAAACGCTCTGGTCCTGCCACAAAATTGAGCTATTAATTGACGGCATTGTCTTTCGGAGTAATGAAAGTTCTGTTCTAGCTTTTTTTTGCCTCTTTTATATTACGTATTTATCTGAATCTGGGTCACTAACTATTTATCTTTCCACGTTCAGTGGTCTAAAAATGGCCGACAATGTTGATATGAATTTTTTATCGATATGGATTTTTGAATGTGGTTAGCAAGGCAAAAACGCATGGGTAATTAAAACCTTAATGCGTATCATATCAATTTTTAAACATAGGTTTCTTTGAAAACGATTTAATTATTGTATTGGAAATTAATACATTCTCCTGAAGCTAGAATGATTTCCATTAATGGCTACTGTTGTTAGTCAAACAAAATATTTTATGGGTCTATTTCTTTTTATTATATTTATTTAAGGGCCACCTCTAATAAAAATTATGCTTTTAATAATTTTAGTGACTTTTTTTTCCTATCAAAATTTAATTGTCGTTTTATAAACCTTAACTCACCTGTTTTCCATTTTGCACTTGTTGTCGCGCACTTTACAATGCGTTTTAAAGTCCTCGAAGAGCTTCAGGCATTTGCGTTCCTGTTGGCAAACGGAAAGCGCATGGTTGCATGTGGGTAGTGCATCAATGGGATACGGATCCTTTTCGGCTAAAGGTATAAATATAATAGAAAGTTAGAAAAATAAATTAGTTAAGAATCTCCGAATAAGACCAACCTTTCTTCAGCACAAATCCGCAGGGATGATCGAAGAGAAAGTCCCGAAAGTGATTGCAGTCGGGATCCATGCCGGGCTCCTTGCACAGGCAGGTGGGCCGGAAGAACTGGAAGGCCTGCAGGGTGCGAAGGGCCGCCTGGCACTTGGTCACCGTCACCGTGCTGCAGGACACTGCAAATGGACGAGAGAGGCCGGCGGTATTGAGTACAACATGTTGTGGCAAGTGAGTGACAGTTGAATCCATTCGGGGGATTGGGCGGATATGCTTAATGATCTATAAACGGCAGCAGTGCTTAAACTTTGACATTTAATGTCGTGCTGGTTCATTTTGGGAACTGCACATCGATTACCAACTGTACGAGTGGGTACACTGATAAAAAATGTTAGTAATAGTTGAAATAAAATTAAAGAAATAAAAGTAATCAATGTGAAACTTGTGTTCTACCGTTTCTAATAAATATAAATTCAAATTCTTATAGATTGAGCATACTTAAATTAAAACGGTTATATTATAGATTTTTTTAAAAATGCTCTATAGCTTCAAGGTCACTTATTACACTTATTACTAGAAATCATTTTTCCCAGTGCAGGTGTGGCCCATGACAGTTGTTATAAATGGCAGCCAGACAACTACAAACCAGACACATGTCATAATAAGAGCCCAAAGAGGGAGGTTACAACAACTACTATATGAATAATTGAGTCTCCAAACAAAACGGTCGATTTAAGCGGCCAATGAAGCGATGGGTAGCGCAGTCCGGATAATATTTTATAACATAATAAATTATGTTACACATAGTAGTGGTCCGAGCTACGTGGGTGTGTGACAGCTTTTTCGAGCATATGACAACTACTACGGCAAACAAAAGGCAAACATCTGTTGGCCATCTATTGTCCTTTTGGCCATAAAACATAAGCCCTACTAATAAACCCGGCTACGCCAACACTTCACAAACACACAGCCAGCAGTAGACGCACATCCACATAGAGGGAAAAGGGACTCGTTTGGCTCGTCATAAGCCGTAAAATCGCCAAAAAGCAAAACAAGCAAACTGCCGGACAATGGGAGTCCGGGATAATGGGAAGCGAATGGGAAGTGGTGGTGGTGTCCATTGGCCACGACGCCATGTGGTTCACGTCACTCAACTGACCCGAAACCCCCTTTCGGCAACCCCTGTGATTGCCCTACGACCTATCCAATAACGCCCCTGTCCCATGCAGACCGGACATGATTATTTGCTAGTTGAACATAAAGTTGCTTCCGCAAAGGGGGGACTGTGCGGGGGAGCTGGAGGTTGGAGGTTGGCAAACACACATCCGAACATTCGCATCGACTGCGCAACAAGTGACATTTTTTACAGGCATCCATCATTTTTATGCCCCTTGGTTCCGCACAGTTTTATTTTTTTTTTCGGATGTCCTTTCGGGTTTTCGGATTTGGGGATTTTTCGGGTGTCAATTAAAACTCGTTGGGTGTGGATCAGATGCGAAACGCAGAGTACTTATGTTCTTACACAAGGAAATGGGAAAAAATGCAGCTTTGAAAGCATACAAATATGAAAAAGCCTGGAATGTCAACATTTCCAAGTAAATTCGCAGCTATTGGTGAATCGCAGAGATATTAAAAAACTGTGTGTTTTAAAGAAGCCTTTAAAAGTCGCAGGGATTCAATCAATTAAAAATGGTATCTGATGATCATAATACAAATATGAATCAAGGCTTCATTGGGTATTTCTCTAACTAACTATGTGTCCGAGCGTTTCAAAAATATTTAAACAAATACATTTCATGAACCAATGAAAAAAATATGAAATAGAGTCAAGGGGAAATTTTACTTTTATTTACTTATTTTTTCAAAAAATAATTAATATTTATATTAACAATAGCTTTATTCGTTAACAGAAACTATCTATTCAGCCATGTATAAAAAATTATAATAATAAATGAATTACATGATGTGTAGATTATAGCAGAGCCTTGTGAAATTTGTGTTAAATATAATTTGAAAGGACAAACTGTTAACTATTTTAGTAAAATAAGTTCTGTGTTATTTCTCTCCGTGAGCTTTTGGTACATTTGATGGCTGGCCAGCTAACTAGATTCTTGCTCTTGGCCCCCAGCTCCTGGCCACCGGTTTTTCTTGGCTAGTGGCACCTGGCTTTGGTTTCGTCATTGCATGCTGGGCGGTCATAAAAAATAAAGCCAAGGCGAGTGGTTTTTATGCTTCGTCGCCATCAACCGACGCCATTTGCTGTTTGTGTTTCTTTTTTCCCACTGCCGCCGCCATTGCCCTTGCCTTTTACTGTTATTGTTAAGTCCTCAATTCGTTTTTATTCGAAACGCGTTTCCGGTTGTTGAGTTGGTCGCTGAATTGGTTCAATGATTTCTTTGTTTGTTTGTTTGTTGTTGCCTGACTGACTATGTGTGTGTGTGTGAGTTCGCCATACTTTTTTCTGCCTTGCTTTATTTGATTTTAGTTTGATATTTGTTTTTTTTCCCGTCCTGGCTATTGTTTTTATTATTTTTTGGCTTTTTATGGCCGTCTGTAGGTGAAATTTATGAGTCATTTATTAGGTTTAGCTGGCCATTGAAGGGCATATAAATTATTATCGAGCATATTAATTACGAGTGAGTTAAGCAGGCACTTTGTGTTGCAACTATTTTCTTCCGGAATGTCCTGTTTCCTGCCAGAACACATGTGTGTGTAGTCGGTGTCCATGTGGACAGGCACTGTGTGTGCTTGTTGATTTTATTGAACCATCGACAAGTGCCCCGGTGGCTGATGGCTCAAAGTGAGTGCAGCGTTTTAAAACGGAAGTGGAATGCCGAAAAGTATGCCATGCAAAGGCACGACTGCTGCGCTGCAACTTCCGGCGAAGGAAAAGCGAGCAAAAATATATTTATCGCCCAGCTGGGGCATCGAAGCTGCTTTTAAAGGCTTTTCCCGGTCGTGCCGGCGCATATGAGAGAGAAATGGGCGAAATGCGGGAAAAGCGGGCGGGAAAACCTGCATGAAATGCAATTATCATAAATATTCAGACACTGCTTGTTCGTTCGCTCGCTCGCTCTCTTTAAGGCACATTCATATTTGGAGGACATTTAAAGGACGACAAACGCGACAGCCATTAACCTGCACGGCCAACAAAAAGTAATTTCACTTTTAAATGAAAAAGTTCAAAGTGCGTTTGTTTATGCCGCACACACTCGCACACATGAGACGCTGGCCATAAAAACAAATGCCAAATGATTTTTGTTGCCGGTTCTCAGTACCGTTCGTATGCGCTACACCTCTCCCCTATGACAAAAATTAGACGCTGGCCAGCAATTGTAATCGTAACTTTTTATTATGATGCGTTGGCATTTGCAATCGAAATTGAATTGGAGAAGAGCTTGGTTCAGTTGAAGAAAAATATATTGAAACAATGTGAAATATTTTTTCTATAAAGAAAAAATCGTAGGTCTTTCTTGTATAATATAAGGAATTCCTCGTTGATTTTCTAAAAATGTAATTTATAACAACTAAATTAATGATATTTATTTTCAAAGATACCACAAGATTTATTGGGCTGTGATTAATTGATTTTATATGAATTATTATCTTTATTTATATCTTATTCGATAATTCCCAAGACACGAGCCTTGCTAAGAAAATCCGTACGCTGCACATAGGAACCGGACATGGTTCGACTTCCTGTATAAGCATGGCGGCCATGGAGGACTCTCCAATTGTCGAAGAGCACAATGCTGCCAGGTTGAAGCTTCAGACTCCACTGCTGCTCCTCATCCCGGACAATCTGCAACAGCTGACGAAGACTCGCATAAAACTCGCTCATCTCGGACTGCGGAATCGTATCGAACACCGCCCGATCGTAGACATTCAGCCTGAGTTGTATAAACTCTTGAGTCAGTGGATCCACCTGTATAATGGGAGCCGTGTGCCGGTGATGCTCCCCCTTTTCGATATACTCCCCGGGAACCTGGACCCGGCACAAAACATTATAGGCATCGGGAAAGCGACGTTTCAGTTCGTTCACCACATGAAGACCATCGACAAAGAAGTTCTCCCCACCCGAACCCGAGTGTTCGATGCAATGTAGAGCCTGAAGGCCAGCTGCATCGCAGAAATACGTATTATCCGTGTGGGAACCCAAGTAGAGTTTCGTGTAAGCGGTATCCGCGTGATCGGGCTTATCGCTAAAAGTCCACATTTCGCCAAAGAAGGTTTTCATCAGGGGAAAAACTGTTCGCAGGGCCAATTCGGTCATGTTTGGCGTGGGAGCCACATCATCGATGAAGACAATGCCGTAGCGAACCAGAGATTCAACTAGGGATCTGACTACATCATCACTTGAAACCATCTGGGACAAGGAGAATCGCAAGTGCCGTTCGTTTTGCAAGATTATGCTGCGATTCCAGGGCGTCAGATTGGTGGACTTTGATCGCAGCTCTATCAACTGCTCCAGCTGGGAATCGAAGATAAAGTCCAGGTCATAGCAGGACTGGTGACCGTCACTCCCTAAGATTAAGGAAAATTAAATAAAGGCTAGGAGAAATTTAAAAAATAATTTTCCTCTTACACAGCACTTTAAGTTTTATTCCCTCGTATTTAACCTCTGCCGATTTCACATCAGCTGGCAGATCCAAAAGATCGTAACGCCGCTGATTGGTATCCAAATTCAGACACTCCCCACAGCGACAATGGTCTCGGAGCCAGAACTCATTCACCTCCAGACTTTTCCCGGTTTTCGGATGCTTCAAGAACAACATTTTTTTGTAAATAGAACGACCGACTGATTAGAAGAGTGAAAGTGAACTAATCTTCCGAATGCTGATTAGACTTGAGATCGGACTCAAGTAGACTCTTATCATTGAGAGAGCAATGGTTCTCTCTCTCTGTTAAGCCGGAGATAAGGAATTATTTACAGTGGAATTTTTCTGATAATAAAGACCAAGAATTTGACAATATTCTAAAATATAAATAATAAAGGTCAAACTCTATGAACTAGTTAGGGGCTGTCCATATATTACGTAATCACGTTTTTGGTGATTTTTGCCCCCCTCCCCCCCTGGTGATCAAACGTAATCATTCAATAAACAACCCCCCCCCCAATGATTACGTAATCCCCAGAATAAAATTTTTTTTGTTTTAATCGGTGGATTCAAACGGAGATGCAACCCAATCTTTAATATTGTTTCTAAATAAAGTTTGGTATGACACATTCGGTTCGTCTACGCTGATATTATCCCCAACATACTCTTCGTCAAGCCATTCCAGGTCTTCGCGTCCTTCGTGTGATTGAACCACTAAACATTCTTTTTTTCGCCGCCCAGCCACTACAAAAATTTTTTCTCTGCTTTCCTATTTAAGTTTGTAGCAGGGTCCGTAACTGTTATAAGTTTTATTTTAAAAATCACACTTTAACAGTTATTTTCTGATTTGTAAAGTAAAACTCAAGCAATAACTGTTATTTTTTGAGTTTTATAATAAAAGTTGGCAAATAACAGTTATTCGTCGCGATCAAAAATAAAACTCAAACTTGATTTATGGCGATTTTGTGGGTAAAATAAATTTAAAAAAAAATATAGGTATAAAATATGCACGGTTGCCTTTTTTAACAAATTTTTAGTAAGTTATATAAAACACGGGAATCATGTTTTTTTTAATTCTTTCATTTTTTCAAAAATGTCAAGTGAATAACTGTTATTCATAAAAATCAAAAAATAACAGTTATTTTTTGAGTTTTATTATAAAAATCAAAAAATAAAAATCATTACGGATTTGTAAACTACAATGCGTGATTTTTTTGTATGAAAAATTTACAATTACACTTCTTTTTGGTCCCTGGTTTGTAGATATTATTAAAGGAAAAAAGTTTTTAAATAAATTCTTTAAATAAAAAAATTAATATAAAATGATTACGTAATCATTGTACAAGACCCCCCCCTCCCCATGTAATCAAACATAATCATTTCAATGACCCCCTCCCCCCCCCTAGGTGATTACGTAATATATGGACAGCCCCTTAATAAAAAAATATTGTACACAGTTTGGAATTTTTATGGAATGATTTGTAAAACGTGTTTCATCCAAACAGGCTACTCTGTAAAATTCCAGTGTATATCGAGTAGGACAGTGTCTCACTGATTTTCTATACATTTTGGAGAATTTTTAAGGCAGAGTAAAAGTATAAAATATATCCAATGATTAAATCTTTTAACACTTCCTGGGCCGATGAGGTGGAGGCGGACTATGTGGATGGTCTGCCGCCGTCGAATGAGTACATCGAGGGCGACTACAAGTACGTGACCGAGTACAAGTTCAACGAGGACGGCAAGAAGGTGAAGGTGGTGCGCACCTTCAAGATCGAGAAGCAGATCGTTCCGAAGGCGGTGGCCCGTCGTCGCAGCTGGGTAAAGTTCGGTGACTCCCGCCAGGACAAGCCGGGACCCAATTCCCAGACGACCATGGCCTCTGAGGAGATCTTCATGCAGTTCATCGGCTCCAAGGACTTCGACCAGACCCACGAAACCCAACTGGATGCCGGCAAGAATATCGCCAAGTGTCGCATTTGCAATGGCGAGCACTGGAGTGTCAATTGCCCCTACAAGGGCACCTCGATGGACAGCAAGACCCTGATGGAGAGCAAGGCCAATGCTGCGGCTGCTGCCGCCATAAACGATCCCGGCAAGACGGGCAAATATGTGCCGCCCTTCATGAAGGACGGCGGGGGCGGGGTCGCCGGCAAGGGCTGGGGTCGCGAACGGGACGACTCGTCGGCGGTTCGCATATCGAACCTATCCGAATCCATGACCGAGGCTGATCTCGAGGAGCTGGTGAAGAAAATCGGACCACACACCAAGATGTATCTGGCCCGCGAAAAGAACTCGGGCCTCTGCAAGGGATTCGCCTATGTGCACTTCAAGTTCCGTCAGGATGCAGCAGCCGCCATTGAAATCCTTAATGGCCATGGCTACGACCACTTGATCCTCTGCGTCGAGTGGTCCAAGCCCCAGCCGTAAGGAGTATATCCTTTCATACTCGATTCTCTTCGCATTCGCGAACGGAAATGAGCCGCAGTGGCAAAGAAATCAAAATGAAATACATGTGCACTCGGAACAAAATACGAGAGTTTTTATTTTTGCAGTAATTGGTAGCTTTATTTCCCAAAAGTAGTGTAATTTATATAATTTATGGGTAATCCGAGAAAAATAGTTTCTTGATGATAAGCTTATAAAAACAAAGACTCAAAAAATTTATAAAAATATTCAAGAAATCTTTTTCATTTAAAACTACTCTTTGGATTCCTATAGACTTGGCTTACCAGTGTTTATTATTTTTTGCGAGTGCATAAACAAAAGAGAAAGCTGGCCTCGAGCAAACTAAAGCCGTTAATGCTCCGTTTTAAATGCGATTTTTTCGCCGTGTTTCTCCGCAGCCGCACAAAGGTGAAAGCCACTTAAATGGAAGCCAACGCGGTGCCGGATGATGATGGCCTGGAATGGCGGGCGGCGGTGCTCGGGAAAAGCTGAGAAATGCCACAAGACGCTGGCCGGACTGAATGAACATTAATAATTAAATATAAGAGCGGACTTATGCGCACGATACGCTTTCGAGCTCCTCGGCACAGGACACAAACTATGCGACCATGACGATGAACCGGGAATGAGTGGTCGGTGGATAGTGCTCGCGGAAAAGTCCCGTCTTAGATACACATTTTGAATGAGGGGCGGATCAAAGCGTGGCACAAAAGAAATTTATTTCCATTGTTGTTGCTGTGACGGCGGGTGGGGCACCGGCTAAAGCAGAGTCTAAAACAAATTACTGAATAATTTATAAATTAACTTTTTCTGCGGCGCGCTCATTCGTTCGTCGGCGGCCTTTGTTTGAGCGGCAGAGTGAATAGGTGGAAGGTGAATAAAGTGGGTGGCCAGGTGGTTGTGAGTACCCGGATAAGAAGGAAGCCGCCAGCCACGCATTTCTTTTTCATTTTGCACCTTCAGGTCATGTGCGCTCACCGCACACATTCAGCCACTCCTCCAGAGAAAAACAAACAGGAGATTAAAAGTCAAATGTTGAAAAATGGAATACCCACTAGATGGATTTGTGAGTACTTTAAGTTTAAATAAGCAGAATAATAGGTTAAATATTTAGGTGAAAGGTGAGTTATTGTTTGAAAGTATTTATTCATAGGAAAGTCCCTATTAAATTACTGACCAATTTATTTAACTTTTAATTAATTTAAGTTTGCTAGAAAATCTCGCTCAATAATTTTTAACAAGTATGTTAGACCTATTGCAAAAATACAGTTAAATTAATAAAATGTACTTTATTTCTTTTTCGTTTGTATGAAAAATCCCTGCAAGTTTCTGTGCCTAGTGCGACAGAAGGTAATGCACCCCCGCACTCCTTTTTGTACAGGGTATTGCAGAAACAGGCCATCGACTCGACTCGACGGGCGTCGCAGCTCTCGGGGGCATTTGAATATTCAAATGCCTTTCGCTGGCTCCTCGCTTCGTTTCGTGGCCGATCTCCTCCTCGCTCTCCGTTGCGCTTTAAGTGTACGCTGTTATTTACTGTTTTACTGCACGCGCGCCTGCTCACGGAACACACAAAAATTGCTGAAATAATTACACAGTTCGACAACAGCACAGCACAACACACAAAGGCCCACGAGCAAATAAAAACAAAGGGAAAATATAATATATTCAACCGACTCGCACTGGCAGCGGAAATGAATTCTCAAATGACCAAAACTTGCGCATAATCAGCGTCGGACGCCGCAAGTGCCCGAGAGCTCTGCAAACACTTGACACAAAAACCCATAGATTTTGTGTAAACATTTCATCAGTGCGCGGTAAAAATATCGATTTGATTTCAATGATGTTTTGCCGGGCGGTTTGTTTGTTTGTATTTACCTGGAATGGGCCCGCAGACGCGCGGTATTATTTCCAAAATGGCCGAACATGAGGGATCTTCGAAACATAGCTGACGTGCCAGGATACAATTCAGTATTGCCACGACGCCCTTAATGGTGGAACCTGAAATTGGAAAGAAGATTCAATTAAATGAAGCCCATAATAGATTTACTATATAATTTCTTATTTCTTATTGCATTAGTTTCATAAATATTTGTATTTTTATATCCAGATTTTTAGGTATTAAAACAATTTTTCCTTTTTTAATTTTCTAATATTATTATATATTCTATCAAACTCACTTATCACACTTTGTCATACATGTAAGCAGAATTAGTTGATTTTGTTTTGCTGCGTTGAAAAAGTTTATTAAGTAACAATCAATGGAGCTTCTTCCGGAATTCTCTGATGCCTTCGCTAGTCTTTATGATAAGGATCACCCTTCGTATGAACAAATACCAACATTTTTCGATCCTCCACCGAAACCGGAGGATAAACTCCGACAGCTGCTGCGGCGGGAGGCCCACTCCCTCTTTCTGCAGGATCAGACAGAGGAGCTCCTCAACACGGACGATCTAAATGAACTGTGGATAACGCTTGAAAAACACGTTACTGAGACCTCGAAATCAAACCGACAACTTATCAAGTTTGAAGATTATTCGAGGGCTACTTCGGAAGTGAACGCCAAGTGTCGAAAGTTGTTGACAGTGGCTCTTTTTTTCGAGCTGATGGTAACCTCCAACTTTCACGGCATGCTGGAGATCGTCTCTATTTATAACCACATAATGCGAAGGGTATCTCTCATCCATGAACGTATAGCTCTATCCTTTTACGATGACTTTGGGCATGGATATTTGAGTGAAAACGACCTGGAGAGTTATATAACGGACACTATACCCAAGCTGGCCCAAATCCGAGATTGTTTACAGCCGTCATTTGAGAGATTTTACGTCTGTACGGTGGTCAAGAAGATATTCTTCTTTCTGGACCATCTTCATATGCGACGTGTTCGAATAAAGGACATTGCATCCTCGGGACTGCTATTGAAGTTATTGAAGCTGCGTGATAAGCCGATTGTTAAAAGGGCTAAAAAAAACGACAACTGCTTTTCAATGCCAGCTGTTTTGGAAGTGTATGAAAAGTACCTGGATTTAGATAAGGATCATGACGGTATGTTGAGCAAGAAAGAGTTGTCTAAATACGGTTCTGGTAGCCTTACTTCCATTTTTCTCGATCGAGCATTCGAGGTGTGTCGTACTTACAATGGAGACATGGACTACAAATCCTTTCTTGACTTTTATTTTGCAATGGAAAACCGAAAGGTGAGAATTCTAAAAAATAAGTTCTTCTGAGATAATTAAAAAAAACCTTAAAGTCTCTTCCATCTATGCACTATATTTTTCGGATCCTAGACATAAATCAGCAGGGATATTTGACAGCCCAAACCTTGCGATATTTCTACGATGGTATTGAAGCTCGCTTAAAAACCTCAAAAACGGAGGGAGTGAAATTTCAGGATCTTAAGGATGAGATCTTCGACATGGTGAGACCCAGGGATCCGCTGAAAATAACCCTTAAGGATTTGATCAACAGGTAAGTTCAATATCCTTGCCGTGTAATTTCCGGCTCATTATTCCCCGCAGCGGCCAAGGCGATACTGTGCTCTCCATACTAATTGAATTCGATAAATTCCTGGCCTACGAGTACCGTGAGGAGAATCTGCAGAATGTTTAATAACCGAATTCCACCCGCCAGCCGCAGCAGCAACATGCGACAAGCAGCAGCAACTCTCTTGCGGTGACAACATTAAGCCAAATTTAATTAAATCCCCAGACTCTGCTCCTTGCCATTCTTTTGTACGAAGGATTTCGATATGTATTTTTTATGTCGCACAATTGTATACAAATTCAATGTGTAAGGCCCTCAAACATTTCGGCTGACTCGTATTTGTCTTTATACACGTAATTGCAAATTGCTCATAAATATTTATGTTGGTCTTTTAATTATTTTAATTCATGGTGAACGGTTTAAAGCATTTACAATGATTTGTATTGAAAAAGCGGACATAAAAAAAAGTGACTGGATGGGGAAGAAAAAACATTGCAATTATGTTTATATGTAGCTCTTAGTTTTTATCATAATTTTATGTTCTCTACAAGCGGGCAGGGAAGAGGAGGTGGAAAACAGAGCTGGCGGTTTATAAAACATTCATTTCAATTTCATTTCATTACGTAAAATAAACCAAGTCATCCGGACAGCAGACTGGGAAACAGGGGCTGCTGTCTATCTAAGCAGTCGGCTTTATGGCCACTGCCAAACGGTCATGGGCCTTCCGCCAGTTCCTCCTGCTCCTCCACCTCCATCACAAAACCCTCTTCATCCGCCGGATGCCCCGTAAAAGTTGTAGTTCGCTGCTGCTCCTGAATTTTCTCTTTCATCCTCCTCGACCTCCTCCTGCTGCTGCCCCACGCTCATTAACGAAATGACCGTTTGCATATTGCAAGTCGAGTGGGCGGGTAATAGTGGGCAGTGGAAAACCCGGCGGAGGAGGTAGATTCCGGAGCCGGAATAACAAAAGAAGTGCCTTCAAAAATTCACGAATTGCATGCGGACGCAGCTGAACTTACTCCGCGGCGACTGCAGGAAGTGGCCTACTGCCAGAGCCGAGAAGTAACCAGCAAGCCAGAAGGCCAAAGAGCCAGAAAGCCAGAAAACCAGAACAGTGGCAACAATTGCATGGCCGCAGAAGTTTCCCGGACAGTCGAATTTTTTGCGGAAATACGGAAATACAAATAAACAAAAGTCAGTGGGGAATGCGGCGGACGAAATAGCCATAGTTCGGCTGGACTTTAAAGTGTTTTATGGTTATTGGGTGCTTAGAATTGCATTGAGATATGCAGCGCGCGTCTGGCCCGATGACAGCCAAGAAATTATCAGCGACTGGCGGGTCGGTGGTTGGGGATCGGGATCTCCTGGCCGCAAATTGCCAACTGGCCGGGTGGGGACACACCCAACCTCAATCCCCGGCGACCCATTTGGAATCACTTAAAACACACAAATCAAGCAAAAGTTGAAAACACAATAACAATTGTTTTGGGACACACCATAAATTTGCATGCCAAGAAGAGTAATGCTCCGAGGCACATAGAAAAAAGCGAAATAGGCACATAAATATGCGACCGACCGGCGGTTCTTGTCCCACCTCCCAGTAACTCCACATCCTCCTCCACATCCAGAACTCCGCCGACGACAACCAGAACAATTCGTTTGTGTCACAATCAGATTCGGCACAGGCACAAAAATGTTCGCTTTTCGCGTTTCGCGCTCGCCATGTTTCATGAATTATTTCCCCGAACCCCAAAAAGTTTTCGACCAAAAACTTTGACTGCAGAAAGAGGCCAGAAAATGAAAAAAAAAAAAAGAAAAAGCGGCAAGGGAGGCAAGACATTGACTGGGAACTGGCCAGTGTTGCAGGCCAACTCCCATTGCTGCTCAGCGCTGCACTGGAGAAAAGTCACAACTAAGTGGGTCGTCATTATTAAATACTTATTGTTTTCGATAATTTAAAAACGTTAATTTGAATATCATAAATAAAGTGCGACTTCCAATCGTCAAACCTTCAACTGTCACTTGAATACAATACATTTTTCAGGCATTTATTTTCTGTATTACTAATGAGATTTTCTTATGAGATTTCTTTTAATCTTTATCTTTAAATCTTTTTAAAAATATTTAAAAATTTTAAACTATTTCCAATTGTTTGTGATTATATTCGTGGCTTTAGATAAATATTAATAATGTCCTTTTAAAAAAGAGTTATAAATAAATTATTATAGTTACCCAATGTTTAGGCAATATAAGAGGAAATTCTGACTGTGACTTAATTTTACAAAATAAAATCAACAGTGAATTGTTGATTTAATAATTCTGAATATATTTTTAAAATATTTGTTTTATTTTTTTCTCTGTGTGCCTTGTTTGCGTTGATTCGTGCGGCGAACATTTCGATTACCATTTTCCCTGGTGGCGCGTTGCAGGAGGGTCGGCGGTGAGAAAGGAGGATGGGGATTCCTCCAGTGTTTCGCATTTTCTGCAACTTTGCTGGCGCGCTGCCCTTTGCCCTCTGCTCTCCGCCCTCTGCCATCCTGCTGCCGCTGCTGCTTAAATTTCAATTGTGTGCCGGGGGCGCTGGCCCGACGCTGGAGCACTCTGGTGCAGGCTTTAATAAATTATGGCCCACGTCGGGGGTGGCGTTCGAGAGGTATTGTTGGTGTTGCCACTGCTGCCGGCTGCCCTGCATGCCACTTGGAAAAAGTTAATACAACAAATGCGCTACTACAGCCCAGCTACCAGCAACGAGCTACCAACTACCAACTACCCGGCAGCAACAACAATTGCAATAACAATGACCGCATTACGAGGCCGCGAATCGTTGCTCGAAAAGCCAAGTCGGTGGCAGTGGCAACATCAACAACATGGCCGAGAAATGGCAGCTTTACAACTTCCGGCAAGCAAGGACTACGGACAACGGACAACGTACAACGGACAAGACGGGACAGGACGAAGGGTCCCGGGTTCGCCACTGTAATATGTTCACTGTGGTTGCCGCGTTTTTATTTTCGCGCTGCCCTCCCAGCCCTCTGTTGCTCGGAGGCCATCCTTATGTCATTCGGGATTATTTTGTGGGTTAAAAACTAATTTTCGGTCATGAAGTGGATTTCGCTGTGTGCATGTTGCCGACATTCGGCGGCCCATAAATATGCAGCACTGCCAACTGCACGGAGCTCCGGCAATTTGCATGGGCCGGCGTATAAAACATTGATTTCCCGACTCCAACTGGATCAATGTAGCGACTTAAAGCCCGCCCGGATTATCCGCAATAATACTCTTTTCTGGGCGGAGCCGTTGAACCAAATGTCAACAGTTGAAAGTGCGTGACCAAATTATTTCATTTCATTTTATTTAATTTATGGTCCTCCGGCCCCGAGTGGAAGTCCTTGCCGCCTCGCCTACTGGCATTTAAATTTAACTACAGTCAGACAATGCGAACAGAGCTCGGTGAAAACAACATTACCAACAGCACACTGGCAACAGCAACACCACCAGCAACAGCAGCAACATAA